AAAACACAGTGAATCGCGACTTTCCTACCTTTTCGCGCATCTGTATCTTCTTTCTTCTGACTCTTTCTCTTCTACTCTTCTCTCTTCTAATCTTTCTCTTCTCTCTGCCTCTGCCCTGCTCTGCTTTTCACCTGTCCATATTGTCGGAAGTTTGACTTCTAAACTTCCTTCGATTACCTATTCTAGTCTAGTAAACTAGCATAACTATGGAACATGGTTCATTTGTAGATGATTTACCCATAAAAAATGCGATGTTCAATAGTTATGTTAGTTGACCAGTGGGGGGCACCAACTTGCATATCGCTGATGAGATTTATAAACATGACCTTTGCCGCGATGATAGCAGGTGGTTCAGCAGGATCCACACCACCAGGTCGAAATCTCATCAGCCAAGGTTTGTTACCCTTAATTTGTTACCCTCTGGTAGACATACCAAAAACTATTGAAAATCACATTGAAAAAATAATAGGTAAACCGTCTATAAATGGGCCATTTTCCATAGCTATGTGATCAAACACAATTGAATCCCATGTTCATTTCAATTGGAATTTCAGGATCCTAAAACAGAGGTACTGTATCATATTGTTGGCCATATTTTGTGGGGATATTCCCTTACATAGGCCTGAAAAATAGGCCTTATATGGTGGGTACCTCCAATCAATCGGTTCCTGAAATGGCCATTGACATGTGGGTTCTTTGAACGTTTTTGAGTAGCAATTATGGCTCCAATTTTGGTGTTCTTTTCCCAGCGAAGCCCAGATGGTATGACTATAGATGATAGCTACTATATTGGTTATATTATATATTGCTATTACTATATCAAACTTGGTTAAGAATTAATATCAACCCTGGAAAAATTAACCCCAAACGGCCCACAATCATCTCCCATCTACCATCGAAGAAAACATCGGATGGTATATATCATAACATATCCCCAGCCAGAATATTCGAATTCAACACCATATCCTAACAATATATCCCAGTTATAATATTGTTTGTTGTACAATATACATACATATGTATTCATATATATATATATATTTATACATACACATCTTTGGCATACCCTATCATATATATATATACAAATTACATTCCCATTGTTGGTTTTTCATGATCGCAAAAAAATATTTATAACATATCCAAAAACAAGAATACAGTGAATACTACGTATGTAGGGTATATGTATTTATTATATGTGTAGGGTATATATATATATATATACATATATACATATATTATATGTATATATCTGGGCAAGTTGTAACGACCTCCCTGTTCTCCCGAACCCTGGAATCATGGTTAATAAGGGAAATCATCCCAAAGTGGCCGAACTTTTCAGGTTAGTGAAATATTATAATTTACCCAGATATAAACAGATACACATGCATTGATCAAATCTTACACAGATATATATGTGTTTCTTAAGATAGGGAATCCCCACGTCACCATGCTTGTCTCAAGACTTTATGCTAAACGGTCATCCATGACTTGGATGACTTGGATGATTTTTCTTTTTTGGCTAAAACCTTCATATATATATATAAATACATATACAACTACATATGCATATACATATACTGTATATATATACATACATACATACATATATATATACATACATACATACATACATATATATACATACATACATACATACATACATACATACATACATACATACATACATACATACATACATACATACATACATACATACATACATACATAATATATATTTGTATACACTACATATACAATACATATACAATACATATACAATACATATATTATGTATACACATTATAGATATAATAGATGGTAGATATCCCCCATGGAAAATTCCCTTTTTAGATCCTTCGCAGGGCGACCCATGGTTCGCTCTCTTGTTGACCTGTTGTGCTGGCTTAGCCACCACCATTGGTGCTGCCATGGCCGGGAGACCGAAAAAAACACCTTAAAAAAACAAGGTCACACCGTGAAAAACGATGGGGGCAACGAACTGGGAGAATTGCTGTAATCACTGGCCATCTCAGGAACCGATTGATTGGAAGTACCTACCATATAAGGCCTATTTTTCAGGCCTATGTAAGGGAATATCCCCACAAAATATGGCCAACAATATGATACAGTACCTCTGTTTTAGGATCCTGAAATTCCCATTGATGTAATGGGTGAATATACACCATAGGAATAGTATATATAGATATATCTACCATCATCAACCATAGCTTGGAGTTATATTCACCAACTTAGCGTTCACGAACTGGGGCACCACTATGACTATGTAACGGAAGCAACATTCAACTCAGCCACGGATACCAAGGTTTTGGGGCCAGGTGAATACCTCACTGGTGAAATCCGATGACATGATCATATCATCGATGGAGACCCCAAGTCATGGATTGAATATTCACTCTTCGCTAAAAGGGAATAATGTGGGTGAATATACCAAGTCATGGATTTTCCTTGGAAAAAGTTGAATATTCCTTGGAAACATATGGAACAAGAGATGGTCAATGAGTAATAATGTGGGTAAAACAATGCCATTTGCACCATCCCCCAGTCATCACCATTTTTATAGGTGGTATAAACCACAACCAAATGGGTAGTTGATTATTGTTTTAACCTCATTAGATCATTTTAATCATTATACCATGATCAAACCATTTATAGCTTATATATGAATATTTATGAATGATATCCCATGATATCCTGAAAAAATGTTGAACTTTGTTGATTTATGAGAGGTCTTTGTTGGTGACAATCACTAACGGATGGCTGGCATTTATGGTAGATATATCCATAGTTGGATGGGGCAATGAAACATTTTGATGGGATGACCACAGTGTCATCACAGTAAATCATGTTATTTTGCTACAGTTTATCCCATATGTAGGGATATCATGTGGTTATTACATGTTATTACCCACTGCGCAAGAGAAATCAACATCCCAGTAGGATTGGGCGAATCATCCTCAACAAAAAACACAAGAAAAACAAATAGCAACATGTGACAAGTTCTTAGAAGTCAAGACATGTCCCAAACCGATCCGTAAATCTTGGATAAACAGTGACCAGCAAAGAGCATTGTTGATTATGATTTGGGTGGTTATGTTTCTTCTTGTGTGTGTGCATCCCAATGACTATGTAAGTGGGTCACAACCATATACCCTGTGGTTATTTAACATAGCCATGGTATAGATGGCCCATAGAAATAGATTGTTTACCTGTTTACCTATTAATAGCATGGTGATTTTCCATGGCAAACTGTTAAATAACCAGAGGGTAATCCAGTTCTTGGGTTATGTAGCCTAGTGGTGTATGGTTGTTTATTGGGCATGAAGATAGACCAGGGTTATAACATCATGGTTATACCATAAAATTTCGATATTATTCTGGTTGGTGGTTTGGAACATGAATTTTATGAATTTCCATTCAGTTGTGAATGTCATCATCCCAACTGACGAACTCATATTTTTCAGAGGGATTGAAATCACCAACCAGTTATTATACGTATGCAAATATATCAAGTACACCATGAACTGCACCACCAAGTAGGTGTGCGTTAATGCTTAGCTGTAGATGGGAAATACAGAATTTGATGTCAGAGCAAATTGCTGGATGCAACGCAAAAAAGCGTTGCGCGTTCTTTAACATGTGCAAGAGAGGATCTATGTGCCGATTCGCACACAGTGACGCAGAGCTTGGGAGCTATGTGTGGGGACCTCCAAACTGCGTGTGTCTGTGTGTTTGTGTTGTGTCAGCAGTGTGTGTCTTTGCAGGGTATGATATGTTATCTTTTGGATTCTTTTGGTATCTTGACTCCGATTTAACAAGCTTTCTAGTTGGCAACTGAGTTCAAGATGTTCAAGGCCCGAAAATTGGCTTTCACTAGCAAGAACGAGAGCTGACCAAAAATGAGATGCAGAACTGCTATGACTGGTACATACATAGCGTTGGGGGGCGCAGTTCCACTAAGAGTCCTGGGTCGTTTTTCACGTATATATAGTCCCATAGTTGTCATCACACTTTTCCAGTGCACCCCCCAATGGATGATTTTCCTATGAAAAGCTACAGTTCTGTGTTCCATTCTTTATGGTGGTTGTGGGGTTGTAACCCACTGGGATAATCCATGGAGATTGATACTCTCTGGTCAAACAGAGGAAACTCAGCTCTTAGGTGTAGCTTTTTTGCCAACGCCACAAAGTCACCACCCTACCAGCCGTGCCCCAGCGGCCTCCCATGATTTGCGAAGCGTCGCGTGTCGTCGCGTCCAAGGCCTTCTGTGTCAACACCAACGACAACCGGGTCTTTGCCATTTGCCTCGCCATCTCAGCAACTTGACCATGGCTATCAGGGGCGATTCCCGTAAGCCGTAAGCTGCACCCCCAACTGGTTGGAGGCTATGAAAGTGTCATCCTGATGCGAAACATCACTGTATGTGAGGAAAAGCGAACAGCCACTTATCAGTTGATTTATATCCTGATCTAACATGATCTAACTATAGAATATCATATACCCTTTGGAAATTTTCAACATAGCTATTGGAAATGGCTCATAGTAATCGTTGATTTACCTATTCCAAATGGTGATTTTCCAGTTCGCAAACTGTTAACGTTTACTCTAGAGGGTATCCACCAAATCTCAACCAACTTAATTACCGAACAAAAGGGGCCCACTTCCTGTTGAAACCCTGATTTGAATGGTGATGTCAATCCATCTATATAGACTATATATATATATTCAAATGGAGGAGTATGCTATCCATAACTTGAGTGAGTCCGTCTAGAGCTGTTATATAGTTTATATAGTCTCTCTCTCTCTCTGTATATAATATATATATATTCAAATGGAGGAATTTGCTATCCATTGACTCAGTGAAATCCATAGTGATCTCTGGTCATGGCCAACGTTGTTTGCGAACTCGATGGGCCATCTATACCATAGCGAAGTGAAACAAATTGCCAGGGGGTGGCATATAACATGATAGGTGCAACATATGTGTTTATAGTTCCAGTATTTTCCCATATAGTTCCTATATACCCAGGGTGGCCACACACAAATAGACCATCACTGGTTATAACTTATATCATATGCCAATTTGATCACCGTGAAATCGCCATTCGTTCGTTGCTTACCTATCACAGATGCCAGGGCCTGTTCATTTTTTCTCCCCACATATCGAGCCAGCCACTGATCACTTAAAGGCTGGAGTCATGACTTATGTTTCCTTCGTTGAAATCCTCTTCAAAGCAGCCGAAAAATTTCAGGACCCAGTTGGGATAGTTGGGATCCTGGAACGGGAAGCCGGGTGGGTTGGAAATCGCTGGCCACGAATCGAACATTGGAAACGAATCGAATTTGAGTCCGAGGAATTTGCTGAGTCAAAATCAAAAAGATCAGTGGAATTGAGAATAATCACGAAAATCAGAGAATGAAAAGTAATCATGAAACAAAGATAGATTTCCTTGCATTGTCCATCCTTAGATATCAAAATCATGATCGTAGAGTAGGATTTCAAGGTGGAAATTCCAGCAGTGGTAGCTGCACGTCATTGCACATCCGTTGATACTAACGGTAAATGGTGACCATGGATCCCAAGGTTTAGCCAGACAAGGTGAGGCTTTGGTTTGTGATGTAAAGGTGAAGCATGTTGTCAAGTTAATTCAAGTTGGCTATCGCTTGGGAGCCTCACCTTACCGGGTTTTTTCCCTGTAATATCCTGTAATCAATGGGAATTTCAGGATCCTAAAATGGAGGTACTGTACCAAGTAAGGGCATATTTTTTGGGGATATTCCCTTACATAGGCCTTATATATGGTGTAATGTTCCCATTCCACTTCGGCAGCATTCGTTTGACGCCTCCCAGGAGGCTGGCTATGGCGAACACGATGCCTTCTCGCCGCTGGGATTCGTGAGGACTTGCTGCAAAATCCGATAAACCACCATCCTAGGATGGTTGAAAAGTTGAAACCCTAAATAATAATGTTGATTTTAACAATGATATCTTCATTATAATGATTATATATGATTATATGTTCACAACAATAGTATCCAATCTGGTTGGTGGTTTGGAACATGAATTTTATGACTTTCCATATATTGGGAATAATATAATAATCATCCCAACTGACGAACTCCATAATTTTTCAGAGGGGTAGGTATACCACCAACCAGCTTTAAATAATGGGATAATCCAACTATCAACTGGTGATTTCGCAACCATCCACAGTAGATTCCTATTTTTTAAAAGACTGCTGATTCTCAGGACCCTAAGCTCCTTTGATTAGAAATCCGTGGTTAAACGGTTAAACCCTCCTGTCATGAATCTAGCAGATTTGCGCAAGCAAATGATCAACACTTGGTTGAAAGTTGGCGACAAACACTTTGGGAACATTTGTCACACAAGCGCCTTGGGGGCTAGGGGGGTGCTTGACGATATTCGACATCTTACAAAGCCTGCTTTGTGGTTTCAAATGTATTACCATGTATGCGAGGATGCTCCAATGACTCAGATATGTTTAAAAGGGTTTTCCAACCACCCACCAATTCCTTTTGGAAGGGGACCTAATAAAATCATATATAATCTACTGTTGTATCATAGTCACAAATACCATTGGATATCCTATGTTTGTTGCTAATACTTGACAAGATGAACCCCCATATGGCCCACGGACACTCACCAGTTGCGAGTCCTGGTGCTTTCGAACTGTCCTAGGATGGGATGTACCCCAAAATCTATGTGTTTTTTTAACAATGCCATTTGCACCATCCCCTAGTCATCACCATACATGGGTGGTATAAAGATGTATAAACCATACCAAAATGGGTAGTTTATTATTGTGTTAACCACATTATACCCTTTGGTAATCAAATGTGGCTGGCTGGAAAATGCCCGAGGCGCAGGTTTCCAGCTGGGAAACTCATCGATCAACACAGTGGATTTTTCAGCATGCCACGTGTGACTACCGGAGGGTACTGGGAATGAATTTAGTTGGATTGGATTTTTACAACTAGCACACCTCCATATTTTTAAGGTGTCCAATTGTTCTATCTATTTGAGGGTGCTACAACCAACCAAAAAAACCTGTACCCTCCTGTAAACCAACATAGATGTGGATAACCCATGATAAGCCATAAAATTTAAGTAGATGATATAACCCTAAACCGTTTGGAATGACTTTTCCACATCATTCCAGCTCTTTTTTTCTGTCCCTTAAGGATCCCCAACATCGCCATGCAACAGGAAGCGAGAACAATTGGAGGTACCGAGGTAACGAGGTACCGATTCCAGTAATATGTTTAGCCTATTTTTCAGGCCCAAATTTCAGGGAATATCCCCACAATTCATATGGCCTAAAAAAAATGGTACAGACAGTACTCGTAGCTCCATAAATTGGATCCTGAAGATCTCCCACTGCGACGCTGGTTGGCTTCAGCCGACTGGGTTTTTCCATGGGTTTTTCCATCGTCCCGAGGCTCGGAACCTTGGTGTTC